ATGCATCCAGCCACTCCCCGTGTAAAAGGCACTTTCACAAAAATGGGTCTGCTCAATGCTATATCAGTTTGACAGTCTGAGATGCATCACTTCACATGGAGGGGGCTGCTTTCTTGAATAATGCATTTGTGCTGGAACCCTTCCTTTTCAATGTGGTTTGTGCTGGACCAGACGTTTTGCTCGTGATATGTACGTATGTTGAACTTCTTTCGCACCGTACGTAGCCAACCATGATAATCGGAGGTGCAGGGGAAGGACAACAAACTGAAAATAAAACGCAGCTCTAAAGAAATTAGTTTCTCAATCTAAATTTAAAAGTGCACAGCTCAAGTAACTTCCTAATATCGAAGGAGAGCATTCCAGGTGGCTGAAGAAGCGCATCTGAAAACACCACGTGACGCGTCACCGCCTTTCTTGGATGGCCATGATAAAACCACCGCTTGATAAAGCCTCCCAAAGCCATCGCCATCTTTCACAGCCCTGTGATGTAACAAACCACCGATAGCACCTGCACACTTGCAGACTTCAATTTACGGTAGTCCATTTCATTCAGCTAATGCAATTACAGGCCTTTGCAAGTCTCAATTCTGATTGTGATCAATGAAGCTTTTTCAAATATGAACAAAATAAATCTGAAGACGACGTCTGTTACGACTACACCCGCCTACAGAGGACTCTAATGACTTCACGCATTACCAAAAACAGGTCACGCTTTTTAAATACCGTCGCTCTAACATGGCACCCAGAGGGGGAGGTGGGATTGAAGGTTTCAAAGTTACAAAAAAATGTTTTAAATGGGCGCAAGCTTAAATAGACCACACGTTAAAACCCCACAAGCGTTGCACCTCATGATGTTAAAAGACATTAACGGGGTCACAGCCAAATGGGCTTGTGGGAGGAGGGCACACACATCACCAAGATGCAATCAGACGTACAGACAAATGCAAGGGAGCTGCAGGGCATCATATTCAAGTTGCCACCATTGTCACCCTCTGGTACATTCGGCAACCACGGGAAAGTTCAGAGGCCCGCGTTAAGAGGACTTGCCTGCAGGCTGCAAGGGTCTCTGCGTATTTGTCTGTATGTTTATTTGTCTATTTATTTATTTTGACAATATACATGCTGGGAATATACACTGAACTTTGTGCATATTTTAACATGAACGGCATCGCTGTTATTTATATATATACAGAAATACTTCCGTCTGCAGTAAATCAGGGCACAGCAGATGTTGCTCGTATCGTTTCTTCGGTGTGTATCAGGCACAATAAACAGAAAAAAGCTGTTGTCAAATGAGCAGCGAGCCATTTCATTGGTGGCTCTGAGGCAGTGATGGAAATTCCACATACCTATGAAGGGTTCCAGTTTATCCTTTAGCCATATATCATTGACCATGGAATGATGATTGGCTGCATCAATCCCTGATCCAGATTTGAACTTGCAAATTTCCATCTGTGACTTGAACTCAATTTGGCTAGATTACGCATATAAAATGCAGTATTGAAGCATTACGGGTTTTCTTTTTATACATCCATGCATTATTTTGGTATTGGACACGAGATTCGCAGTGGCTAGTTTTCACGGGTTGTCGAAAACGTACCTGTTTTAAATGGCTTTCTCTAAGTTATTTTCAAACGTCTTTGTCACTTATTCTTTCCTTGGTTGATGTTAAAGTATTTCCGCTTTTCCATGCATAGCGCCCTGAGAACGATCGTTTAAGGTCGCTTTTATAAACTTAAATGATAATTATTACGGGTGCTGTCGTGGGGTATATTTTAAAGCAAAATCATTCCATGGCAGTTAGCACTCTGCATGGCCACCCGGGTTCAATCACTCCGAAGAAGCAACACTGGTAGAAATTGACACTTGAACCCACGAGGCCATCACCTTGGTCAACATAGCCTCCAGTAGAAAGTAAGTGCCACTTGTGATTTATCAACGTTCGCACTTGATAGACAACGGCTGGACGGGTTGTTGGCCACACAAATGCCTCGTGTGCTGTATTGTCCCGAGTAGTCATCGTCACTTGTGATGTTAATAGTCGCGATGTGAACATTTAGGCGTTGGTGCTCATCTCCTTTTATGCAGCCCTGAGCCACTGGTGGAAATTCCACCGTCCTATGGCAGAGACGAGTCTTACCCATAGGACGACTACCGTTCACTTGACCACAATGTGGTAATCATTATATCGGTCCCCGGGGAGATGTTGCCCGAGTCAACCCTCCTAACCCCAACCTTAACAGAAGCTCACGAAAGGCACTTTTCCTCTGAACGATTTAACTGGCCCAGCAAGGCATTGTCGCTGTAGCTTTGCATCTGCGTGGTGCAATCTGTCGCCCAATTAAATAGTGCTTGGCAAAAATCCCGCAACATTTTCAGTCGTCACGTGTCTTCCGAGGAATAATTTGCGTATAATTACAGCTCGCAGTTTTTTCGGAGGTGTGAATGAATAAATAAAATTAATGTTTCATGTTGGGTGAGCCATTTGCCAGCCAATGGCGGCACACGTGGTAATTGGTAGGGCGCCTGCAGCTGGCGTTGTGATTGTGTGGCATTGTAGAGGTGCCCTACTGATGTCCCTTTCTCTGGGGCTTCTGTCGCTCGCACACCGTTTGTTTGATGCAGGTTTTTATTTATTTGACTTCACACCAGGATTCGGTAAACAATGTTGCATGTATGGTGTGTGTGTGTCTGTGCACACGTCTTGTGCATATGTGCTTGTACATGTGTAGCGGTTATGTCATGGTTAGCACACTACTCGATGAAACTGACGACCCAAGTTCAATTCCTGATCACAACCAATTACAGTGGCGAATATTTGAACCAGTTCTTGGCCCTTCCTCTGTCGGTTTGGTGCGTACTTCATAGGTGCCCGCTAAAAGCACTTGCCCCAATAGTCTTAAACACTCTACGGGGGATCTGTGTCTTTGTGTGTGGGATTGGTGGCGGAGTGTTTCCCGAACCGCACTACGAACCAGGCGACCTGAGTTAGATTCCTGCTTGTGGCCAGCAGGAGTAATGCATATTTGAACTGGTTCTGGCTGCTCCTAGATTGGCTTAGTTTTTCATCTCTCAGAGTATGATGAACAGAGTACCACGTGTCAACAGCGGTTCTTTGGAGTGATTATCCCCTGATCAGAGTATTCTAGAATTCATACCACCCACTAATGGCTGCAAATGTAGAGAAGAACAAACCCCGCTCTCGATTGGGCGGTGGGAAACTTTCGACTTTCGCCTCGATATAAATAACGAAGAGTCCAGCGGAGTTTGGCAGCGGCTCTGTTATTTGGCAATGGTAATTGTGGCACGACTGCTCATCACCCATGATGCTCTGCGTCCCCGGGGTTCAGTCTCCCAGGCCCCATCCAGGACGGCTCCTGCCGTGCGCCCATTTGCATGACGTCCGGTGGCGATTGATGGACTCCAAACGGCGCAATAATGAGGGGCCACGAAAAGGCCCCCCCCAGGTTACCTCCGAAGAGCCGCCGTGATTTAGCGCCGCGACCAGCGGCACACCAAAATCTAAGAAGCGCGATCGCGTGCCCCCAGACGCCCGCTTCGCCCCCCATTGGGGGGGGGGGGGGGTGGGGAGATGGATGGTGGGGGGAACAGTTGCTCACCCCCCTGGCAATTTGAGGAAAGATGCTTTTATCAGCTGCGGGGTTGATAATGCACAGCTCGTTCTGCTGTGATTATTCTTATTATTGACGACTGGATGGATGTATTGGCAATGGAAATGGCTAATGTGTCGCTTTTTCTGGCGTGATTTGTCTTTGTTAAATACTTACGTGCCATACTTATTGACCGCAGCTGATGAAGACAACAGCTGCCTTCCAAACCCATTGTGTGACTGTAATTGCAGTTAATAATAATATTTTCGTTTAATATACCGCCATTATTTCTAATAGCATCCCAATACGCTGTTGAAAGAAATTTTCACTTGCGGGATAAAGTATGTGTGTTGTTTGTGTGTGTGTGTGCACGCACATGAATTTGGAATTTCATATAAAAAAAAACTTAACTATTTTACCAGGTATGGTCCTCTGAGCTATCTAGCTCTTTTTCAGAAGTGACCAGGCCACAAATGATAACTCAACGAAGTGTCTTATCAAGTGTAAATTTATAGCAGGCAAATACTCTAAATGAGCAATTACCCATTGCTCATCACGCGGCGACCACAGAAATCCACGTCGTATTTCTCGAACATTGTGCGCAATGCCACTGTTGATGGTAAGAGCCCAATATGAGTATCTGATACGATGTATAATCAACATCAGGACTCTGGAAATAAAAGGTGGCCATTTGTGTTTTTTTTATGGCCACACCACCCCCAAATTGTGAGCTGGCCTCTGTAAGTTAAAACATTGGAACACAGAGCTTTGGTGGCCCAGGAAAGGCCCAGTTTCCAGTGTCCTAGGATAAGCGGCACGACCTGGATCCGCGTGGAAACTCATCACGAGTCCTGCGGCGCCATCTCCTTTAGCCCTGCCCTCTCTTTCCCCACTATGGCCAGGGATATATAGCGGAGGGCATAACTAAGTTTAATGTAGGCGTGGGTTAGCTTAGCCTTTACTATGTTGAGTGTCTATTTAATTTTCATATTTTGCTCTATGTGTATGTTTTAAATTTTTTACACGAAACTGGGCCTGAAGTTGAATCCAGTGAGTACCATCACAGACAACGTGCACTCTGTCAACGATGCCCCTTTGGCATCACAACTGATTCCAAGATTGATCCATGTAGAGGTGTGTAACTTGGTGTGCTGGGTTGGATCAGTGGGATAGCCATAGAAGCGTAGACTGAGCCACTGGGCCCCTGTTCTGAACCAAGATATCCTAAACAAATACAAATTTCTATATAAACCGGAGATGTGTTGTTTTTGTGTACATGTGTATTTACAGAACGCTAAATGCAAACCATGTTTATCGACAGACGCGTCTGTATTGCAAGTTTGTGGTGATAATGGCGTTGCTGCGTTTTGCTCTGTTTGTGTCCTGTAGCGGTACCCTGCTGGCATTTCTGCTGGACCTGCTCAAGAGCTCTGTGGCCATGCAAGAACAGATGCTGGCCAGCAAAGGCTTCTTGGTCATCGGATACCTGCTTGAGAAGGTGTGGTGGCTTCGCACATGAGCGCTCACACACGTGCGTGCACGTGTCGTACAACGGCCTGCGTGAACACGCGTTCACGTTCGTATGCGTGAACAGAACGATTGGGTGAAAATGTACCGAATAAAAGTTAACAGTACCCCTCCCCGTTCAAATGGGTAAATTGGCCTTGAGTCGTAGAGGAAATTGCACATTTTCACGCGCGTACTAAAGCCGGTTACAAAAGTCCTCTGTGTACACCACACGGGGCCACGTCACCTGTGCTCATTTCAATGGAGCTTAGCTATGCGAAGGAATAGGGTGAACGTACAACAAAAATTTACAATTGCGGGAAGAGCCAGCCTCAGTTTTTATTGCACACAGAAGTTCCTCAAAGAGCAGCTCCGTAGGACGTGTTGGCTGATAACATCGCAAATCAGCAACCCTGGGAATAAGCTAAGACGCAACAGTAATGGGGTTTGATTTGTCATCTTCAGGTTGCTTTAATGCCCCTTGACGTAATGGCGAGCGCGGACCAGTGACACGTTTCCATGGCAGTCATCGCAGCCTGCCGCTAATGAGGATGGATTGTGAGCAGGGCCCGCGCATCAATGTGAAATAGTAGCGATGGGGGGGGGGAGGTGTGGAACTCTGGAGGGAGGTGGTGACACGTGCTCTCTACAGCCAATGGCAGTAAGACAGATGCATCAGAGTGGTAGCGAGAATTAATAATAATTAATAATAATGTGCATCACAGCAGGTAGGCAGCTGATGAGAAGATGGTTTCTTTTGGAAAGCCATGTGAGACACATTTGGTTGAGTTGAAAATATGAGCAACCAGACTCATGCAAGCCGCCATGAGTCTGCTAGTAAGGGGCAACGATTGTCATATGGAATCCCAATTGAGAATTTTGTGAATAATTTTTTCGAATTTGGTAAATCTGGACCAGACGACAGATTTTATATGGTTAATATACCCGCAGTAATAACTATAGTTGCCTACCGGATTTGAACCACGAACCTCTGCAATACCACCTCCGATGATACTGTGCTGTGGCAACAATATGTCATACAGAGGAGACGTCCGATTTGCCGTTGCATGAACATAAATGCTTCGATAAATGATATTTGTGGTGGTGCATGCTTGTATTATGGCCCAAAACATTGTTTGTAAAAATTGCCCACAATTCTTTCTTTGTAAAATGAAATCTTTATGGTTAGCTTGGCTCTTCTGTGTTTTTTTTTTTTACAAAACATAACAATTCCATGAAAATAACTGCAGAATTACGATGGAACACAATGCATGAGCAAGCATTGTAGGCTTCTCATTAAAGCACAAATGATGGAACATCAAGTCAAAATGCACTGCCAGCTTTTGTTGAACTCGAGGTTAAAATGTAGGACAGACAAAATGTGCCAGCCGTGCCTATTCCACCAGTCAAAGTGAACACCGAGAATGCTGTGAGGGCATCATATTCATCCAGTGGAATTGTCCCCAGACTTAATTAATTGAAGGCTCCTGTTGTTATACTGACCTCCTTTTGTGGGGGCCCACAGAGCTCCTTCGGCCAATCAGTGCTGACCTGGTATTACATGTATCACTTCTGGGTGGATTATGGACAAATCGACCCTGACTGGGATTTAAACTCATAAACTTTAGGTTGTGAATAGAGGGCTCCAACCAACTGGCCAGATTGATATGAGCCACTATAGCTACCTTAAGACTTGTGATTTAAGCAAGTGGCCATGTGACTGGGACGATTACCCAAATTATCAAATCGAAGGGCTGATTAGCTGATGGCATCTGTACAAGTTGGACGCATGGATGTCTCTGCACCAGTGCCTTTAATGGTCCCTTTAGTTATTCCAATGCATGCCATGTCTTGTAATGAGCAATGCGAAATCTTTCTGAGAAAACATCTCTCCTTCCATAATGTCTGCCAGAGATACAAATAAATATTGATTATTTTGCCGTTTCATAACCCGCCCGGGTGGTGCTGTATCAGAGCGTTTGCCTCGCAATCATTTCATCGTTGTGAATTCAAATCTTATTTGGGGATTGACGCGGCCCATCTTCCAACCGAAGTTGATAAAACGACGAAACCCTGTGTGGAAAGGCTGCAGCGGTTGTCTTATGGAGAGCCTCGCCCTGGCTCAAGGAATAATGAATCTCCACCACTGGCTCCGTGCCAACAGCATTGATGAAGCACCCGCACAATGATTGTCTGTACAATGTAGGCTCATCCGCAATTATATCCAATTTTTAGATCAAAGTTACGTCAAGAACCAAAGATATATAATTATTCAAACCAACGTTCAGTTTCTACATCTATTCATAGGAGGAGGCTTTTTTGGCGGTTTCCTGGGTAATGATCGTGTTCATGTAATGAGCCAGAATCTTTGAGATGCTGGGCTCAAGGCAAAGGTTATTTCCCTGGATGAAATAAATACATATATACTCGCTGCCCTTATTCAAGGGAAGTAATAGAGGTCTGTTGAGTCCAGCAAAGGTCAACCAAGCTGCCATGTACAAATAATAAAGAAACCTTTTTGGTAAAATCAAATTCTGAAATATACGAGTCTCACTCACCAAACAATTGGGATATTGAGAATGATATTGAGTGAGCTGAGACCACAATTGGAGGTAAAAGTTGATTAAGAGTAATATGTGGACATAATGACATGAATCGAGATAAAGCATTTCAATTAAATATGGCTTGCGGAACTGGAAACCATTGCAATGTCTATAATTTATAATTGGACAGTGATTTTTATGAGACCATTCTCAAATGGCGTTGTTAATTTCATGAGCTCGACAGTAGTGTTATGGAGTTCACATGAAATAGGTCGTAGAAAAATCACTTTAAAGTAGTCCAGGTTAGCGAGGCATCGAGTAGCAGTGAAACACAAGAGGCTATTTTTTTATATTACTAATCAGAGGTGTGGACTCGAGTCATGTGACTTGGACTCGAGTCAGACTCGAGTCATGAATTTGATGACTTCAGACTCGACTTGGACTTGCATAACAATGACTTTGTCCCACCTCTGAGGTGTGGACTCGAGTCATGTGACTTGGACTCGAGTCAGACTCGAGTCATGAATTTTGATGACTTCAGACTCGACTTGGACTTGCATAACAATGACTTTGTCCCACCTCTGAGGTGTGGACTCGAGTCATGTGACTTGGACTCGAGTCAGACTCGAGTCATGAATTTGATGACTTCAGACTCGACTTGGACTTGCATAACAATGACTTTGTCCCACCTCTGAGGTGTGGACTCGAGTCATGTGACTTGGACTCGAGTCAGACTCGAGTTATGAATTTGATGACTTCAGACTCGACTTGGACTTGCATAACAATGACTTTGTCCCACCTCTGAGGTGTGGACTCGAGTCATGTGACTTGGACTCGAGTCAGACTCGAGTCATGAATTTGATGACTTCAGACTCGACTCGGACTTGCATAACAATGACTTTGTCCCACCTCTGTTACTAATAACTGTGCACATTCTCTCATTAAGTACGGCGTTATGGGATATAGCAGCTATCAAATATAATAGACCCTTGTTACAAATCTTGGTTCACTTTCTCAGTTAAGTGAAATGTCACGGGATGTAATAGTAGCGATGGAATATGAGATGCTCCTATTATCACAAACCACTGTGCACATGAACCAGTGGAGAGGAAGTCTGGGATAGAGTGGTCATCAAATACAACACTCTTAATTATTGTAATCACTGTGCACATTCTCCAGTGACGTGAGATAGTAGCTATCACAAGTCAGGGGCTCGCAGTGTCGCCAATTGCTGTGCACACTCTGGTGGAGTGGCAAAGCGGAAGAAGGCTCCATGCAGTAAGCAGAAGTTGCAAAGTTCAAATATCAGCCAGAGGTCAACTCGGCCTATCTTTTCCCAGAGCTCAAAAGAACCAGAATCAGAAACGGTTTTAATCGCCATGAAAGTTTGCACATACACGGAATTTACTATGGCCGGAAGGTGCATACATTCAACATGTAGGAATCTTAAAAACTTAAATAGGTGATATACAGTCTTACTATACTAACGTTACAAAGTATAACTAATACTAACGGGCTAAAGTATGTAAAATTATGAATAAGTAGACCATATAAAATGCGAAATGTAAAATGTGAATTAGCCGTAATATACAATCTTTGAATACAAAAATACAAATAAGATAACACGTTGTAAGTATGACAAGGTGTAATTATGTAGATAAAATGTTATAGTAAGTGTAAAAGTCATTTTAAGTGTAAAAGTCATTTTAAGCCCTTTGCGTTGTTTAGGAGGCCAACAGCGGATGGGAAGAAAATGTTTTTATGATGTGAGGTTTTGGTCCTGATGGACCGCAGCCTTCTGCCGGAGGGGAGTAGCTGGAACAGAGTATCCAGGGTGAGAGGAATCGTCCACAATCTTCCTCGCTCGCCTCAGGGTCCTCAAGGTGTGCAAGTCCTCAAGGGTTGGTAGATTACAGCCAATCACCTTCTCAGCAGTGTGGATGATACGCTGCAGTCTGCTCTTGTCCTTGGCAGTGGCAGCAGCGTACCAGATGGTGATGGAGGAGTTGAGGATGGACTCAATGATGGCTGTATAGAAGTGCACCATCATTGTCTTTGGCAGATTAAATTTCTTCAGCTGCCGTAGGAAGTACATCCTCTGTTGAGCTCTCTTGATAAGGGAGCTGATGTTCAGTTCCCACTTGAGGTCCTGGGAAAGAATAGTGCCCAGGAAGCGGAAGGACTCCACATTGTTGACTGGGGAGTCGCACTGGGTGATGGGGGTGAGTGGGGCTGTATTCTTCCTGAAGTCCACAACCATCTCCACGATCTTAAGAGCATTAAGCTCCAGGTTGTTCTGGCTACACCAGGTCACCAGGTTGTCAGCTTCCCTCCTATAGTCAGACTCATCCCCATCAGAGATGAGCCCGATTAGGGTGGTGTCGTCCGCAAACTTCAAGAGTTTGACGGACGGGTGACTGGAGGTGCAGCATAGTTTCTCTATGCACGACGGGCTCAAGGCCACTAATTTAGATCGGCAGTGCCCAACACTGCGAGCATCACCGAGACGCCTTGTTTCGATTTTTTTTGCCATCTGCAAATTTTGTCGTCTGATGAGAACACATTTGTACATTTAGGCTTGGAAAGGTAAATCAAATGGGGTATTCAGTCTATACTTTCACTCCAACTCATTCACTAGCAAACATATCTTGTTTTAAATGAAAACTTTTTAATTGCAATGTGCCTCATCGTCAGTGCAAAGCTGCTTTGTGAATCATTCTGGAGATAATTGTTCAATGCAAGCATTGGCCAGAGCATCTAGTGATAATTACAGATGTTAAAAATACACAAACGCATGTGTTGGCACAAACTCACACAATGGTAAAAGTCTTCAGTGTGTAGCTATCCAGACTGTCAAGGCAAGCACTTTTAGCAAGCACGCCATTATTGCCTGCAGAGTGCGCAAGGGCCGCTCCTACGCCCAGCGTTGTCTACCCAATGCTGATGGTTACACACTCAGATGCACGTACTCATTTAAGGCTGAGTTGACCTAGAAGAGGCCCAGGACAAGTTCAGATGCCACTGGTCCACCGGTGTGTATAGCCAGGAATCGAAAGTGGGGAAAAAAACACTCCTTCACTGCCCTCTCCGCTACACAAAATCACGTGCATGTGTGGACACACATTCACAAAATGAGCTGTACACTGTAGTTGAATTAAATTCTTCAAATATTCTGTAAATTTGATCAGTTTTCCAATTTATGGCAGAATGTTCAACGAAGATATGTCCAGTTGAAGACGATCACAGCTTCTCAGTGCTTCCTGCACGAAACCATGCTCCGAACATTGTAATGGACACGATTCCACGCATTGGTGGAAATGTTTCATCTCATGGCAAGAGAAGTGGTCGAATGGCTACGTTTTATGGGAACAATCATGATATGCACATACATTCTGAACGTTCTGAGTTTGTGCTAAAACAGCCATCATTCCGGCAAAAAAGTGGCGGACTGATGGCCAAGATAGCTACATCAATCGGGGCCCCTCATTTATTTCGAGACAGGTATGTGCGGCAAGGGAAATATTTCTCCAGAAGGGGACAAGCAGAAGGAGCAACCTCTTCTACCTCATGGTGATGGATGCAAGGTTAACAGAGAAAGAAATGTCTGTGCAGCAGAGAATTAAAATAACTTCAGCTCTCTTTCCTACTTTCAATACTGTCAGGAGGTGGTTTTGCAAATGTATATTGTGGCGGCAGCTTTACTGGGTACACTGGGATCCGAAGTAAGAGTAATTTATCTTCTTGGTTCTTTCGGTAAAGTCACGTAGAAGGGAAGTAATAAAATAATAAAAATAAAACATAATAAAATAATTATTTTATTATGTTTTATAAAAATAATAAAATAATTATTATTTTACTTTTATTATTTTATTACTTCTCTTCTACGTGACTTTACCGAAAGAACCAAGAAGATGAATCCCTGCAGTCACGAAAACTTTAAATCGAAATTTAAGAGTAATTTATTGACAACATGGCATCAGCCCACAAAATGCCATGGATTTTGATCCACAAGCCCACAGGCTCAGTGGCACCGCAGCCAAATCCTCAACTAGGCACAACAAATACAGCTGCTCATTCCATCCACAGTATTGAACCAGCAGTACCGTGCCCAAAATCAGAATCACAATCTTTAATTATGCTGGAGGAATCCACAGAGCTATAATGCTCATTTCCCACAGAGGTCCAGTAGGGTTGGGTCAGAAAGTTACAACAAACAATACACAAAAATGATGGGAGTACAAAGTGTAGGGAAGGTAAGCAAATCACGAATACATTTAAGATAAAATTAAACTTTTTATTTTACTGATTTTTCAGAGAGACCTGGCCACAGATGAGAGCTCAACGAAATAGCGTATCATGTGGGAATGTATAGCAGCCAAAAAATCTAAATCATCGAAATGCATTCTAGATTTGAAGCTTTCGTGACTGCAAGGATTCATACTCTTTGTTTTTTTCGGTAAAGTCACGTAGTAAAAAAAAATGAAAACAACTAAATTAAATCACGACGTTTCGGGCACAACACAGGCCTCCTTCTTCAGGTAGGGACAACGTAGCGAAAGCACAACCGATTAAGTGTGTCTAAGAGATGCCTGTGACGAGGAATTATATAGTCACGGCAGCATAACAAAAGGCTGCTTAATCTTAGCTTTCTAATCTACTTCCGCCCCCTGCATCACAAAGCTTCAGTTTGAACTCCATGCGTTGCCTCCCAGTGCCCCCCCCCCCCCCCGTGCCTCACAACGTTGCCTCCCAGTCCACAGCCCGCCCACACACTCACCATGGCCCCTCCCCTCCCTCCATCCCCCGCGACAATATAATTCCTCATCACAGCCATCTCTTAGACACACTTAAGCGGTTGTGCTTTCGCTACGTTGTCTCCACCTGAAGAAGGACGCCTGTGTTGCGCCCGAAACGTCGTGATTAAATTTAGTTGTTTTAATTTATTTATTTTAATTTTTTCACCTACGTGACTGAATCAAAATGCATGTTTGTTAATGTGGAGGAAACGCTGGAGGACCCGGAGCAAAAAAATCCACGCGAAGATGGAGAGAATATGGAAACTTCAAATATATATGTGTCTTCCTTTCCCCTGTCATACCAGTATTGATGCCTGCCAACGTAACATATATTATGGATGCGTGCTAGGGCACGCATTTCCCAGTGGTTGCGGCGTTAACATCTGAGTTCTGCGAGCTCCTTGTGCTCCATTGTTATTAGTGCCGTTAGTTTTATCGAAGTCCGAGGTCAAGGGAAGGTTTCTCCTTGCTCAAACAGGCAAAGGAGCTTTGCGCGATTCGGTTTGTGACTCTGAGCCAGTTTAATTGTGTCTTGTGTACATTTAATGGCAGTGAATCTTGCACAAAACAAAGTCATAAAACGCTTCACTGCAGTTCACTGTAGCACTGTATTAATGGCAGTGATTCTTGCACAAAACTTTCATAAAACACCTCACTTCATGTCACTGCAGCACTGTATATAATTGACCTTGAATTTGTTCAAATTCACTGCTCTGATAGTTTATTATCTTCTGCTTTCAGTCGCTGGGGTTCAAATACATTGGAAATCGGTACAACATCTGAAAAATCACTGAGAAATGTCTATTTTACCATAATGTAGAAGCATAAATTAGACTAAACACTGGATTGCTATGCAGCAAACACAACATGCAGGACGTACACAAAGTACGCCAATTGGCGTGGATGTGAGGTCTATTGAATATCTTCAACACAGGGTGAAGATCTCTGACACACGGTGAGATTACGCTGGGCAGCGTGGAACTTCCACAGAAAATGTTATTCTTCCCATGACAAGAATAATGTTGCGCAATCGCAATGAGAAAACAGTAAAACAGCGACAAACAAAACACGTTTTTGAACAGTGTTATGAAAATGATGTTCGTTTCCGCGCACACCGGCAACAAGTGGCGTCCGGGGTCTCTCGTAGGTCAACTCGGCCTTAAACGAGTTCCCAGCCCGCTCATCGCGTGCTGCCGAACCTGCGCCCAGCTGATGTTCTGTGTCTACCCCCCCCATGCTCCCGTGCCCCCCCTACGCCTCCCGTGCGATGCACAGTCCTCAAGGGCCCACGTGTCGCGCGCAGTGCTCGAGCACTTCCTGTCGTTCGCCAAGTACCTGGACGCGCTGCCCCACGGCGCCCCCATGCTCAAGCAGCTGTGCGACCACGTGCTCTTCAACCCCGCCATCTGGATACACACGCCGGCTAAGGTAGGGCTGACCCCCAACACAGTACTCCTCCCCCCCCCCCACCACCCCCCCCCCCCCCCCCCGTGAACTTCGCCCGTTGATACCTCCACCCTCGTTGAGGACCCCCTCCCCACGGGTCTATGAACGTGGCTGACGTCCAAACATCCCAATGCGGGACCCTCCTTGGAAAGAAGTCTTTGCGCTCGGCGTGAAATTTTCTGGGTGAAAAATTCTACCTGTACCGTGTTCGACCACGTGCACTGCTCTCCTCGTGTTATTTTGTCGCCCCCATCGTCTCTCGTCTCAAGCGCTTATCGCAACAACCTTGCTCAATTCAGGAAACGTGTTAACGCTTCCCTCCGACAATTTCAATGTAGTTCTGTTTGTTGCTGGCCGTTTGGCGTTTAACCTTTCAGCCTTTGCTCGGCAACCGTGTGGACTATCGCACCCACACTTGAGCTGAATGAAAGGCGTCACACGCTCATATGCATGCAACTAAGGTGCATATATGGCTTAGGCAATTTGGGAGGGCATAATGATAATTATGAACTGTAGCAGGGACCAGTATCGCACTTCTTGGCTTCTGCAAAATTGCTCCTAAATGTAATTGAGCCTTAAATGGATGTTGGGCTGAGTCGATCCCCGACCGAGATGTGTGCTCAAAAAGTTGTGCTTGCGAGTCCCGTGTACTAACCACAGTGCCAGCCTTTTGCTCGTCAGAGCGCGGAGAGACCCTTTGAGGATTGTGGCCCAGCGCTTTAACCGTCAGGCCACCGTTCCCCACTCACAGTATCGCGTGTGCACGCTCAAATGTGAGCGAATTTCACTCCGCTATTGGCGGAGCTCGCAGGTGCTTTTCTGCCGCCGTAATTGTAACAAGGCCCAGTACCTCCGTCCGAAATGGGCCCTCTTGTGTCACTGCCCGCGGCGGCCAGATGCGGGCTTGAAGCCAGAGTTGCACGTGAGACGATGCAGGCCACACGAGGTCCGCTGGGGGACGGCTGGCTAAGCGACTCGCGCGGCGGAAGAACGATTGTTACATAAAGCTTCATCGACCGTAAACGCTGTCTGCCGAGATGTACTGTAGAACTTCACAACCGCTTGATGCAGCCCATTAAACACGTGCGACGCAGCAGTGGGTAGTAGCCGCTTAAGGGTCCCCCGCACTTGACGGATGTCTCCTCTGCCGTGGAGAATTCTGTCAATGGACTGTGTTGATTGCTGCCAATATAAACGTGTCTGTGTGTATGTGTGTGGGGGAGTGGTAGTGGAACAGTTAGCGTGCTTGGCACCCCGAGTTTGATTCCCGCTCATGCCCAACACCAGTGACGAATATCTGAATCAGTCCTGGGCCTCCCCTAGGTAGACTCAGCCTCAAATGAGTACCTGGTGCAGTGTATAAACATCGTCACTGGGGACACAAAGGCGACCGGGCGTGATGCTGACCACCCACCCTCTCGTGTGCCATGCCGGCCTTTATATGTGCTCGCCAACAGCACTTGCCCCAACAGTCTGTTAAGACGATAGGGAGGTTCTTTGTCCTTTGTGTTTGTTTCAAGGAGTGGTCGTGGTGTGACGGTTAGCATGTTGCACTACGAACCTGGCGACTTGTGCTCGACTTCCACTTATGGACGGCACCGGTGACAATTATCTGAACTGGTCCTGGGCCTCCCCAAGGTCGACTCGGCATCAAATGAGTACCTGGTGCGGCGTATAAACATCGCCACTGGGGAGACAAAGGCGAACGGGCATGGTGCTGGTCACCCACCCCACTCGGAGTATCGTGCCTGCCTTCATACGTGCTCGCTAACAGCACTTGCAACCTGCATAGGGGGATCTGTGCCTTTTTGTGTTTGTGAGAGTGGCGGCACAGCGGTTAGAGCACTGCACTATGACCCCACTGACCCAGGTTCAAAGCGTGGCTGTGAACAACAGTGACAGGGGTGTCGGAATTTGTCATGTACTCCAGGACGTCAAACCTCCCATGAAATGACTGCCAACATCCAACAAAATAATGTTAAACTTCAACCACCGGCCCAGGGCGACCGACAGAGATGAGCGCAGGCTCACGCTGTCTTGAACGTGGAGATACGTCGACTTTATTACTTTATCAACAAAATCATCATCATTGAGACTTAAGACTCCCTGTCAAGAGGGTCTTACATTGCGATATTTTGCCTTTTGCTTTTTTTAAATATAGTATTTTAGGATGGAGGAAGTCACAGTATTCCTGAAAAAGCTTACACACACAGGGTCGTGGCAGGTTGTAATGAAGGATTTATATTTAAGCGCTCTAACCCCCAAAAAACTGTATTATACATTGAACTCTATTGGGGGGCAGGGGGAGGGTGGTTACACTCGTGAGTTGGCTTAGAATGGTGATAGTCAGCAGCTGCACTCTTGTGCCATACTGACCACAACAGTTGCTCGCCAACATCACGACCATGCGTACATCGTACAGAAATGCGGGCTCGCTTAGTTTTGTGTTTGTGTGGCGCGTAATGTGCGGTCGGTGAATGGCGTGGCCAGTCGGGCATGAGCAGGGGCAGCGGAGGGGGACCCCCAACAAGCTCTGTGATCGGATGGTGACACCATTTGCCATTGATTTGTGGCGATGGGAATTGATTGTGAGTCAAGAGAAGCGAAGCGCAGTGTGATGGCCACTAAGCCACTGTTCCCAGCAGCGCTCGCACACATTCACACACAACCAGGCACACTCACACATACACACACAACCAGGCACACTCACACATACACACACAACCAGGCACACTCACACATACACACACAACCAGGCACACTCATACATACACACACAACCAGGCACACTCACACATACACACACAACCAGGCACACTCACACATACACACACAACCAGGCACACTCACACACACGCACACACAACCAGGCACACTCACACATACACACACAACCAGGCACACTCACACATACACACACAACCAGGCACACACACACATACACACACAACCAGGCACACTCACACATACACACACAACCAGGCACACTCATACATACACACACAACCAGGCACACTCACACATACACACACAACCAGGCACACACACACATACACACACAACCAGGCACACTCACACATACACACACAACCAAGCACACTCACACATACACAACCAGGCACACTCACACATACACACACAACCAGGCACACTCACACATACACACACAACCAGGCACACTCACACATACACACACAACCAGGCACACTCACACATTCACACACAACCAGGCACACTCACACATACACACACAACCAGGCACACTCACACATACACACACAACCAGGCACACTCACACATTCACACACAACCAGGCACACTCACACATACACACACAACCAGGCACACTCACACATTCACACACAACCAGGCACACTCACACATACACACACAACCAGGCACACGCACGCACACAACCAGGCACACAACCAGGCACACACACACGCACACATACACACACAACCACAACCAGGCACACACAACCAGGCACACACACACGCACACACACAACCAGGCACACGCACACACACTCATACACAAACAACCAGGCGCAAACAACCAGGCACACACACGACCAACCACACACACGCACACACATAACTAGGCACACACGCGCACAACCAGTCACCCTCACATACACACACAACCAGGCGCACACAACCAGAACCACACACATGCACACACCCAGGCACACGTGCGTACATACATACGTGTAACGTCACACAGTTTCCCTTCGTGGCTTGGTTTGACTGTTGGTGTACGCTATTATCATAAACAGCTAAGACCGAGTCCCCTCCACGGTGCCAGGGCTCGCACTGCGTGCTGTTGTCTTGCCACCAGTTCTTTCGGTAAAATAAAATAATACAAATAAAATTCTCACGACGTTTCGATCGCAACACAAGCGGTCGTCCTCAGGTGGAAAAAATATCATCCAGCAGTGGAACTGCTGAAGCAGCGAACCAACCAGCGATTCCACTGCTACATTATATTTTTTTACGCCTGAGGACGGCCGCTTGTGTTGCGATCGAAACGTCGTGAGAATTTTATTTGTATTATTTTATTATTTCCCTTTTACGTGACTTTACCGAAAGAACCAAGAATATGAATCCCTGCAGTCACGAAAGCTTTAAATCGACAGACATCACAATATTAAGCAGAGGAAATCTCGAGGCAGTTCAATCCAGCTCGGGACCACGGATACCAATTACCACGAAGTTTATGCATTTAAATCAAACCTGGCGTTCTGGGAATAGAGGGCAGTGCCATAATCATTGTTACATTCCTACAAAGACCCCCCGTATAGCCTTCACAGACTGTTGGGGCAAGTGCTGTTCACGAATATCTATGAAGGCCAACACTGCACACGAAGGGGTGGGTGGCCAGCACCACGCCCGTCTGCCTTTGTCTCCCTCGTGGTGATGTTTACACACCCACCAGGTACTCTTTTGAGGCTGAGGCGACCTTGGGCAAGGTCTAAGACCCGTTCAGATAATGGTCACCAGTATTGGCCTTAAGCAAGAATCGAACCCGTGTCGCCCCCACTCATCCACACAAAAATACACGCACGCATACTCATTCTAAAACAAAGATCCCATGTTTAGCTGTTTAGGTTTTAGAAGCAAGTCAACAAATAACTACGAAGGCCAGCAAAGCGGAATTATACGATGTTAGTGAGCACCATGCATGAGTTGACCTAGGGGAGATGCTGGACAGGTCAAAAATACGATACTTGCCACCGATATTTGTCCATGGTTGCTAAACAAAGTCAGGCCTTTGGGATTATAGTGCAGCGCACGAGCCCGTTAGCTCTCTCCGCTCTACACACCGGACATTGCACACACGCACATACACACAGCACACACAAGCGCATGCACACAGACGCAGGCTGCGTGTGTGTACACGGGAGCACGTGAACGCACTTGAGCAGGGGACGTGGAGAAGGTGCGCCGGATCACTACCCAGACTGCTGCTCCAGACACGCA